TTTTCCCCCATGAAGTACATGAAAGGTCACCCACTTTAGGTTGGCTTCTTCTTCATCATTTTCACCCACACCATTATTTATTTATTTATTTATTTTTTGCATGATGTGACCAAACTTCGAAGCTCATAATGCACTCTGCATTTGCTTTTAGAATAGCTTCCAACTTCCAAGCAAATTCAACCCCAAAAGCTCAAAGTGTACGTAGTGGATTTACAGTGGAGCTAGCTATAGCTTTATGTGAGTTAGTTGTGGAATATAATATGAATATCAACCTAAAGGGGGTTAATTAGTTCAATTTAATCTTTTATTCGATTTTTTTTAATATTAAATTTAACAAAATAAAAATAAATTAATCACCCCACAAATCAAAAATAAAGTATAAAGTAAAATAAAAATAAGGTTTAGAGTGACATCAGGATTTTAGCAAGGAAACCAAATTAGAGAAAATCATTCAACTTCAGAAAAATCTAGGAGAAGCTCATACGATCTCGAGAAAAAAGATCCACTATGTAACTCCCTTGTCCAAACGCACTTGACCTTTAGACCTACTCCCTTAATCATTATAGAAAATTAATGTTAAATTAATAAGTACTCTATGAATGACTTGATCCCTTCAAAATGTGATCTCTTCCTTATTTTCTTGGAATATGTCATTTTAAATTAGTTGAAAGACAATACTGCTTTGATGACCTGTAGCAATAGTTTTTCGATTGTAAGAACTCCGATCACTAAGAGAAACACATCCTGAATCACTTTTGTGTGTAGCATATGTGTTCTCAAACTGAAAAATAAGTAATCTTTACAAAAGCTCTCTTAGGGTTTGAAAACTCAAATATCAAAAGACGTAATGATTTTAAGATCACAAAATATATTTGTGAGTGTTTAGAGAGACCTATATAACTTTGGAAAAGTTAGCAATTTCTTGCAAAAAATTCTCTTTAAAACTTGATAAGAAAATGTAATTGAATTGATCTTTAAAAGAACTTTTCTTTTTGGTTCGAGTAAAAACAATCGGTTTTGTTCCAGAATGCAATTGGTTGCGTTTTTACTAAGAGCTGTTTTTCCACATATGAAAAACACAACTGACTGTGTCCTCACTTCACTAATCTAAGTATTCTCTTATGTTGGAGTGAGTTAGCACTTGTTATTCTACTTTTAATCTTGAGATTTAAATACAAAATAAAAAATACAACTCGATCGAAAATATTTTGGTATCAAAATATGTTTGATTATATAATTTTACGCTTCACAATAGCTTCCTCTTTCAAAACTTTACCCCATGAAGTACTGTGTTTGGTCACCAACTTAGTTTGGCTTCTTCTTAAGCACTTCCACCCAATCAAATTTTTGTTGCATGATGTGACCAAACTTCTAAGCTCATAATGTAATCTTCATGTAGGACTCAGTAGGAGTATTTGTTTTTAATATAGCTTCCAACTTTCAAGCAAATTCAACCCCCATTTTGTATTGAGCTTTTATAATCTTTTTGGGTGTTCGTGATGAATCTTCATAGGGTTGGTGCAACCTACTTTATAATTGAATGTGATGGCGGCAAAGAGAGAATTATTTTCCTTGCCTAGCATTGCTGGCAAATTATTTTCCTCGACTGTGTGAGCCTACCAAGCTAATGAGGAATAACCCCTTTCCTCCTTCCCAATAATGGTAGCATGTATATGAATGTGGAAAATGATATAGGTACGAAAGTCAATGCATTCAATTTATTTATGGGAGTAAAATATGACATCGTCACACATTGTAATGACATCATTCTCCCTTACATAAGTAGATGCATTCAACCTTCCAACCAAGGCTCTTCTTTGGTTATCTTTGGTTATGAATCCACTCTAAATAATCTAACATTTTCTCAATTATCATCAGTATGAGAGAGAGCCACACAGGTTTACTGGATCAGTTGCCCCCACTCGACTTTTTATTATTTTGATTTTGTATGTAATTAAAAAATGCGTCCAGTAGAGGCTTATATGATTCTTAAACGAGACCTAAAAATATTTTTTAAAAAATTCTTATTAACTCTAAATTTAAAAGAGAGAAAAAAAAAAAAAAAAAAAAAAAAAATCTGAAGTCATACCATTCATTAGTTAATAAATACTATATATATATTTATATATAGTTTATCCTTGTAATTGTTGGTATTGGTGATAAATAGGGGGAGGAAAATCGAATCAGAGATTTATAAGGTGGGGCTCTAAGACTTAGCCCTTTATCACTCCGATAATACCATCACAATTTAGGGGTTGAGATAGTGAGATTATAAGAGAATACCACCACCGTTTAGGGGATGAGTTAGTGAGATTGTAACATAAATAAATGTGTTTAAAAAGAAATTTACTATTTATCAATCTATACTTTAATTTTTGTATTTATTATTTTGGTTAAAATTTTATTATTTAAGAAAATTTTCTTGTAGTCAATTCGGCTGGGCGAATCTGCCGAAACAGTAAAACTTTATTATTAAATGTTGGTCCTACTAAAAACAAAATCCCTGGTGATTATCATGGCCAACTTAAAAGTAGGGAGAACCATACTTTTGATAAAACCGAAAATGAAGTAATGTTGGTCATCCTAAAAACAAAATCCCTGGTGATTATCATGGCCAACATAAAAGTAGGGAGAACCATACTTTTGATAAAACTGAAAATGAAGTTAGACAAAAAAAAAAAAAAAAAAAAAAAAAAAAAAAAAAAAAAAGAAGAAGAAAGAAAGAAAGAAGAAGATGAGTGCCTCCTGAAGAATAAGGTTTAAAGTTCGATTCGTTTGGAGAGCAAACAATTCCTTGAGGTGGGTGAGTATTGATAAATTTTAAATGCTAAAACTTCATTGTGTTTCAAGTGATTAAGGCATGCACAGTACATTATATTGATATACAAGGGTAGTTTGGTCATTCCACATTCTTGAGAAGACTATTCAAATGGCCTAAGAGAGGTACATCGTAATGACAGTTCACACTGTAGGCCAATTAGGGTTTCAGGCCCTTATACAGAAGTTGATATTTGGCTACAGAGTCTTTTAGGGGTAATTAAGTCTTTTCACACTTGTATTCTTTCATAATACACTAGTTTGTGATAGTGCATTTGTATTGAATAGTTCTTATTCACAGTTTGAGTAAGTGTCAATAGTTAAAGCTGGAGAAAACTGTGTATGTTGACTAGTGTCCCTATAGAGGTATTTTGGTCAATGCAAATTGCTGAGTATTCTTGTGACACATGTCTTGTGATCCTAGTGTGAGAAGATGCACGTTGTTATTCATTGCTTAGTAATTAAGCTTGATATGTATTGATGATATATATACAATCATACAAGTTGGCATTTGCTTGCTCATTAGAAGACAGGTTTGTAAAGGTGGCAGGGATATTATGGTACATTCACAAAGGGAATTTTATATTATTCTATGGCAAATGATTGGATGATGGTGCCAAATATATTTCCTTATTGAGGTAGGAGTTGTACTCAAGGACCACTATATATATACTGTGATAGTGTATTTTAGGATTTGAGCCTTTTGAAAACCCTAAGCAAGCCACATTAAATCACACACTCAAGATACCTAAACAATGACCACTTCCTGAGCCTTGAGATTTATTTTGTAAGCTTGATTCATCATAGAAATGAGTATAGAGTGTTGAGTACTTGGTGATGATGAAAAGGCTTGGCTGTAGCTGTTTTATGCTGAAAAAAGGCTTGGTTTGAGAAGTCAAATTTGGTTCCAGCCATTTCCAAAGCTGCACAAAGGTTGAGGCAAGTTTGGTTCCACTATTTTACATATGCAGAGTGCTTATATGTGACCATCTTATAACTGCATTTACATTTGATGTCTCAGACCTGTGTTTTAGCCCATTTGACTGGTTTAGCTTGTTGATTTGAACTTATAATCACTATATCTTGCTGTGAGCTGCATTATTATAATCTGAGCAAGATTCAATAGTTAAATCAAGGCTGTTGAAGTTGAGGTTTGCACATAAATAAGGTTAAATACAGTTTTTGACGTTGTAAAACCTTAGTTTTTGAAGGTTCTGCAGAATTAAGCCAATATCATTGTTGTATACACACACTATACTCATTATGATTATTATTTGAGTATGTCTTTGTTGAAGATATAAGGCTGTGGATGTCATTTATTGCTCTTTGTTCACTCGAATTTTTAATTTTGCCCTCAGACCAGTATTTTTGCATAATGAAGACTATGTGTTGTGTATAGCTACTTTAAGCTATGTAGTTCATTGCTAAAGTAGATTTTCTATTCACTCTTTTTATGCATTTAGTGAGCTGTGAGAGTTTGCATGGTCTAAGTAGGGTTTTTTAGGATAGGGGGAGTGTTGTGTGCACCAAATAGAGCTAGTTGTGTGTGTAAAGATTGTAATAACTAGTGTTTCATCTTGTATAAGAGTGTGTGCAGAGAGTGAGTCAGATAGTGAGTCAGTTGAGTGTGTAACTACTTGCATACAACTAGTGGAGATTACATTAGTTGTGGCTAAGAACCAAGGTTTTTGATATCTAGTTGAGAGATATTTTCTTTGTAAAATCCAAGTGTACTTACGGTTAAATGATTGAGCATTGTTTGTGTATTCAAAGCACTCTAAGTGAAAGCAGAAGTTAAATTAAATAACTAATTCATCCACCCTTTTGGTTCATCAATTGGTATAAGAGCTTTGGTCTACCTTTTGAGGTTTTAACCAACCTGTAGAAGATCTTGAGTAATGAATGAAGGCTAAGTCACTAACAAAGCACCCTACTTTGATAGTTCCAACTATGATTCATGGAAACCAAGGATGGAAGCCTTTCTTATGTCCCAATACTATGATCTATGGCATGCTACAATTATTGTTGTGGTTATTCTCAATCCAAACAATTCTTCAGCTGATGATAAAGTAGCTTTAGCAAATGATGGAAGAGCAAAGCATGCTCTCTTCTGTACTCTCAAGCAACAAAAATAAAAAACTATAAAACAACTAAGGAAATGGGCGACTCTCTCAAGGCTACTCATGAAGGTAACAATGTGATCAAGGAAACTTCTAAAAGATCAATATGAAAGTTGTAAGATGGAAGAAAGGGAAGCTGTCTCAAAGTAATTGTTCAGAATAAATGAGATTATTAACAATATCAAGACTCTTGGTAAAAATGTTTAGGACTCGGATGTTTGCAAAACGATTCTCAGGACCTTGACCCCAAGTTTCAATGTAAAGGTTACCATTCTTGAAGACAAAGATCTCTTACAAATAAAAGTAGATGATTTTCAAGCATCACTCACTGCTTATGAAATGAGAATTGGGATTCCTACTCAACAAAGAAGAGAAACAGCCTTTAAAGCCAAAGAAGTGGTTGAAAAAGCTGAACAAAAGTCTGAAGATGAGGATGATCTTGAAGACGATAAAGTAGTTTACTTGGCCAAGAAGTTCAGAAAATTTAGATTCAAGAAAAGGACATATTCATATAACCAAACATGTTATGGTTGTGGTAAATCAAGTCACTATGTGGCTAATTGTCCTAATTCAAAAGTCAAAACCAAATAAAGGTTGAGATATTCAACAACAAAGGAAGATTTGGAAGAAAAGCTCTTATCTCTGATTGGGATACAACTCTTGAGGAAGAAAATCTAGAAGAAAACCAAGAAGATGATTGCTTATTCATAGCTATACTTGAAACCCCATAAGCTCAGAAAGAAGAAGAAGATAGTGATACTGAGGTTCAAGAAATACTTGAAGAACGTGAGAGGTTGGTTGTGAAGTGTGATCAACAGAAATATCAAATCATGAAACTAAGTACTGAGTTACTGAAATCCAAAGACTTACTCATCAAGCATGTCAAGATAAAGCTCTCAACTCTATGATCCATTTCTCTGACTTTGTACTTTGTGTTAAAACTCAAAATCAACAAGGAGGTGTGGACTACCAAAAGGTACAAGGAGGAACTGTCACAAGCTCTAGAAAAAAGATTTCTCAAGATGACTTTGATTTGAAAAAATTCCACTAAACAAGTTGGCAAAACAAGCATTGGCTACAAGTGTGATACTGCAGCTAAGACAAATCAAACACACTCAATGTTTGTAAGATCCTCCATATGTGAAATGTATGCAAGATTTCCTATTGTGAAGATAGCCAGGTCTAAGCATGAAATTCTTGACAGAACTTATACTACATTGAAGCTAAATAGGTGTGACTTTGTTGCAGCAACTATGAAAAATACCAAGCTTACACCTGTTTACATCAAGAAGACAAACCTATTACTGTCACAGATGATCAAAGATAAAAGAGTTCTTGTCAAAACTAAGATGATGTGGATCCCTAAGAAGCTTAATTCAGTGAGTAAGTTGGTTTATACAACTTTTAAAGCTTGTAACTCAAATGATGGATGGTATATTGACAGTGGTTGTTTAAGACATATGACAGGTGATAGCTCTAAGTTTCTTTCCTTGAAGAAATTTAATGGTGGCAATGTGGTATTTGGGGACAATCAAAAGGCTAAAATTGTTGGCATTGGAACTATATGCAAGTCTGAAGATCTACCTGTGATCACAAAAGTTTTATATGTTGAAGGACTTAAACACAACTTGCTAAGTGTGAGTCAACTATGAGATGCTGAAAAGCTGATACTAGATTTGCAATGGAACTGGCTTTGCTCTTTTGGAATTTTCCCCCATGAAGTACTTAAAAGGTCACCCACTTTAGGTTGGTTTCTTCTTCATCATTTTCACCCACACAAATTTTATTTTTTTATATTTTTCATGATGTGACCAAACTTCCAAGCTTATAATGCACTCTGCATTTGCTTTTAATATAGCTTCCAAGCTTATAATGCACTCTGCATTTGCTTTTAATATAGCTTCCAAGCTTATAATGCACTCTGCATTTGCTTTTAATATAGCTTCCAACTTCCAAGCAAATTCAACTCCAAAAGCTTAAAGGGTACGTAGTGGATTTATAATCTAGCTAGCTATAGTTATGAGTCCGGAATAGTTGTGGAATATAATATGAATATCCAACCTAGAGGGGGTTAATAGATTCAACTTAATATTTTATTTGATTTTTTTTTAATATTAAATTTACCGAAATAAAAATAAATTAATCACCCCATAAACCATAAATAAAGTATAATTAAAGTAAAAGTAGGATTTAGAGTGACACCGGAGTTTTAGCGAGGAAACCTAATTAGATAAAATCATCAGACTTCACAAAAATCTAGGAGACGCTCATACGGTCTCGAGCGAAAAGATCCACTATGTGACTCCCTTGTCCAAACGCACTTGACTTTAGACTTATTCCCTTGATCCTTATAGAAAGAAGATTAATGGTAAATCAATAGGTACTCTACGAATCACTTGATCCCTTCAAAGTGTGATTTCTTCCTCATTTTCTTCGAATATGACATTTTAAATTAGTTGAAAGACAATACTGCTTTGATGACCTGTAGCAATAGTTCTTCTATTCGAACAAACTCCGATCATTAAGAGAAACACATCCTAAATCACTTGTGTGTGTCGTATATGTGTTCTAAAACATAAAAATAAGCAATCTCTGCAAAAGCTCTCTTAGGGTTTTGAAAACTTAAATATCAGAAGACGTAATGATTTCAAGATTACAAAATATATTTATAAGTGTTTAAAGAGACCTATAAATCCTTGGAAAAGTTAGCAATTTCATGCAAAAAAATTCTCTTTAAAACCTGATAAAAAAGGTAATTGAATTGGTCTTTAAAAGAACTTTTCTTTTTGGTTCGAGTAAAAACAACCGGTTTTGTTTTAGAATGCAATTGGTTGTGTTTTTACTAAGAGCTGTTTTTCCACCTGTGAAAAACACAACTAATTGTGTTTAAAGTGCAACTGGTTCTGTTTTTCATGAGAGTAAAAATAAACTTATTTTTTTACCCAAAACACTTGGCTCTCATTATAAAAACATAGCCCTATGTGTCCTCACTTCACTAACCTGTCTAAGTTTCTTCTTATGTCAAAGTGAGTTAGCACTTGTTACTTTTCTTTCAATCTTGAGACTTAAATATAAAATAAAAATTACAATTCGATCAGACTTGTTTTGACACCAAAATAATTTTATATTTCATAGGAGCTTCCTCTTTAAAAACTTTAACCCATGAAGTACTTTGTTTGGTGACCAACTTATTTTGGCTTCTTCTTAAGCACTTCCACCCAATCAAATTTTTGTAGCATGATGTGACCAAACTTCAAAGCTCATAATGTAATCTTCATGAAGGATTATTTGTTTTTAATATAGCTTCCAACTTTCAAGCAAATTTAACCCCCATTTTGTATTGAGCTTTTATATTCTTTTTGGGTGTTCGTGATGAATCTCCATATGGTTGGTGCAACCAACTTTATAATTGAATGTGATGACGGCAAAGAGAGAATTATTTTCCTTGCGACAACCCGACTGTGTGAGTGTGTTGTCTCTCAATCGAGAAATAATCCCTTTTCAAATAATAGTACGAAAATCAATTTATTAAATTTATTTATGTGAGTGAAGTATGACGTAGTCATGATATTGTGATGACATTCTCCCTTACATAAATAGATGCATTCAACTTTTGAACCAAGGCTTTTTCTTTGATTATCTTTGGTTATGAATTCACTCTAAATAGTCTAAGTAACATTTTTTTGAATTATCGTCTGTATGAGAGAGAGCCACACGGGTTTACTAGGTCAATTGCCCCTACTAGACTTTTTATTATTTTGATTTTGTATGTAATAGTTTTAGTAATCAAAAAATGCCTCCAGTAAAGGCTTATATAATTCTTAAACGAGACCCAAAAATATTTTAAAAGAAATTCTTATTAACTCTAAATTTAAAAGGAAGCTAAAAAAAAAAAAAAAAAAATCAAAAGTCATACCATTCATTAGTTAATAAATACTATATATATATTATCGTGGTATTGATTAGTATTAGTGATAATTAATGGGAGAGGAAAATCGAATTTGGAATATATAGGGAAGGAGCTTTAAGGACTAGTCCTTTATCACTCGGACAATACCACCACCATTTAAGCGCTGAGATAGTAAGATTATAAGATAATACCACCACCGTTTAGGGGATGAGTTAATGAGATTGTAACAGAAATAAATGTATTGAAAAGAAATTTACTACGAAACAATCTATACTTTAATTTTTGTATTTATTATTTTGGTTAAAATTTTATTATTTAAGAAAAATTTCTTGTAGTCAATTCGGCTGGGGCGAATCTGCCGAAATAGTAAAACTTTATTATTAAATGTTGCTCCTACTAAAAACAAAATCTCTGGTGATTATCGTGGCCAACTTAAAAATAGGGATAACTAGGGGTGCACAAAAGAACCTGAACCGGAACCGTGGGAACCAGAACCGTTTTTTTCGATTCTCATGGTTCCAGTTCCGATCCCGGTTCTTAATTTCAAAACCGTGAGTGTACGGTTCCGGTTCCAACCCGTGGGAATCGGTAAGAACCGGAACCGCATATATATATATATATATAATTATATATTTAATTAATTATTCTAAACTAAAGGCCTACAAGCAGCCATGTGTAATCCACAAAACAAAACACAATCCTCAATTCATCTAACCGTCTAAACCAATCGCCTCCATCTGGACCATCTCTATTCTCTCGACTCTTAACTTGCCCTCTCTTTATTTTCGTTCTCAGATATGAACTTCTCTCTCTCTTTCTCTCTGTGCAACTGTAAACTACAAAATCTACAAGAATCAGAAGTTCAAAACCCATATCGGTATATCATTTCAGATTGTTCAAAAAATCAAAACACATATCTTTCAGTTTCCATCGCAAGCTTGAGCCGCTGTCTCTCAACTCTCAAGCTTGCCCCTCTCTCTCTCTGCAACTGCTAAACTTGCCCTCTCTCTCTCTGCAACTGTAAACTACAAAATCTACAAGAATCAGAGGTTCAAAACCCATATATTTCAGATCTGTCTACAAGAATCAAAAGTTCAAAACCCATATCGGCATATGATTTCAGATTGTTTAAAAAATCAAAACCCATATCTTTCAGTTCCCATCGTTGTTGTTCTAGTTCAGGTTTGCAAGCTTCAGCCGCTATCTCTCAACTCATGGTTAACGGTTCTCATGGAACCGAACCGGTTTTACGGTTCAGTTTCGGTTCCGGTTCCGTTTTTTAGGAACCGTTGTGAACGGCTCCGGTTCATGTTCCGACCAGAACCGTGAGACCCGGAACTGTGTGCACCCCTAGGGATAACCATACTTTTGATGAAACTGAAAATAAAGTTACACCCAAAAAAAAAAAAAAAAGGTGCCTCCTGAAGAATAAAGTTTAAAAGTTCGATTCGTTTGGGAGCAAACAATTCCTTGAAGTATGTAAGTATTGACTAAGAAAAAAAATTGAAAGATAAATTTTAAATGCTGAATTTTTTTAGTGATAATTAAAAATATCTTAGTTAACGGGAGTTGAGGTATGATGTAAAATCACATAAAAATCCACAGATAAAAAATTTAAAATAAATAATTAATAAATTAAAGCAACAAATACATCTTCCTGCAATTCATGACCAAAAATCAGTCAGTGCAACTCAACACATATAACTCAATACCCAATTACCGATTACGCAATGACACCATTAATATCAAAACAAATAAACAACTAAGAAGTAGAACTTGATTAAAATGACCTCAATCGATTTACATTCAGTATTCTAAATAGTCCCAATCCATTGGCCCATCCAAATAAATAACCGTACCTATTCTGGGATTCATAAATCCCCTCAAGCAGTTTGGAAGATTATTGAAGACCGTGGTCGTGCTCGGCTTCTCTTAATCAAAACGAAGGACTCCACCAGCTCGAGATGCATAACTGCTGAATGGGAACTCCCTAGTTTGATCAATGCAGCTGAGGTTACAGTTGGATGATGTTGGATGATGTTGTCTCTGGTTCCTTTCCTCCGAGTTTGAATTTCTGATTTAGGGGAGGGAAGTTTTGTTTTGTTTTGTTCCTTTTGGGCCGTGTGGGTTGGGCTCTTGGGTGAGGTCTCTTGTGTGGGCCTGTGTGTTCTGTTTTGTAGGCTACAAGGGCTGTCTTTTTGGGCTAGTTGGTTAGCCCTGTACATCTCTCTTTTTGGTTATATATACCGATTTACCAAATATATATATATATATAGATCAGACAAGTAAAAATATTTGTAGCATTTTTCAGTATTTTTTTTTTGGAAATTCCTTTTTAAATATGTTTCATCCTTTTAACAATGTTTGGCTTAACACAATCAGAAAGATAGAAAGCCGAGCCGAGTCATGCAATTAAGTTTTGCTATTGTTTTGGTAAGATCTCGAACTCCATTTCAATCAAAAGAAAACTTGTCACAAATCACAAATATATATATATATATATATATATATAGTATTGATATACATTATAAAACAATTAAACAACCAGAGCTGAAAACACATGTCTGGTCTTTGATGTCCTTCTAATGCGAGGTTCGGAGAGATTATAAATTAGTATCGCAGGTCAACATGCTTTTTTTTTCGATCTTTATAGTGCCATTGTGTTAATTGGTACTTGGAAATTAAGTTGTGGGTGTGATAGTGTGTTGAATTGATGTTACTGGTTTATGGTCCTGAAGTGCATTTATTGCTTTAATTATTTATTTATTTATTTTAAGTTTCTTGTTTATGGGTTTTTGTGTAATTTTACACCTTTCAGTTGGTCCCACAATTGGATTAGAATTGTCCTTTAAATGTCAAAAAGACTATCACATGTACACTTTATTGTGTTTCAAGTGATTATGGCATGCACAGTATATTATATTAATATACAAGGATTGTTCGGTCATTCAACATTCTTGAGAAAATTATTCCAATGGCCTATGAAAGGTACATTGTGATGACAGTTCATACTGCAGGCCAATTAGGGTTTCAGGCCCTTGTAGAGAAGTTGATACTTGGCTATAGAGTTTTTCAAGGGCAATTAAGTCTTTGCACACTTGTATTCCATCATAATACACTTGTTTGTGATAGTACGTTGTACTGAATTGCTCTTACTCACAGTTTGATCAAGTGTCCATAGTTACAACTGCAAAAAAATCTATATATATTGACAAGTGTCCCTATAGGGGTATTTTGGTCAATGCAAATTACTGAGCATTCTTGTGACACGTGTCTTATGGTCCTAGTGTGAGAAGATGCAGGTTGTTATTCATTGCTTAGTGATTAAGCTTGATATATATACAATCTTACAAGCTGACATTTGCTTGCTCATTATAAGACAGTTTTGTAAAGGTGGCAGGAATATTATGGTACATTCACAAAGGGAATTTCATATTATTCTTTGCAAATGATTGGATGATGGTGCCAAATATATTTCCTTATTGAGGTAAGAGTTGTACTCAAGGACTACTATATATATAATGTGATAATATATTTTAGGATTTTAGCCTTTCTGAAAATCCTAAACAAGCTACATTGTATCACACACTTAAGCTACCTAAACAATGACCATTTCCTGAGCCATGAGATTTATTTTGTAAGCTTGATTTATCTCAAAAATGAGTATAGAGTGGTGTATATGAATTGAAAGGTCTAAATGATCAACTCTGCAATCAGTTGTTAGAATTAATATGTTTTCAAATTGTTCATTTGAAAAAATAGAAACCCTTCTTATTGGATGACCATGATACTTCCCAAAAATCAAAATTCTTGATCAATGGAGGAAGAATATCACCATTTTTGTTCAATAAGATACCAAAGTGGAGTGCTTGCTGATGATGAAGAGGCTTGGCTACAACTGTTTTATGGCGCAAAAAGGCTTGGTTTGAGAAGTCAAATTTGGTTCCAGCCATTTCCAAAGCTACACAGAGGTTGAGGAAAGTTTGGTTCACTATTTTACATATGCAGAGTGCTGCTATGTGACCATCTTATAACTGCATTTACATTTGATGTCTCAGACCTGTGTTTTAGCCTATTTGACTGGTTTAGCTTGTTGATTTGAACTTATAATCATTATATCTTGCTGTAAGTTGCACTATTATCATCTGAGCAAGATTCAATACTTGAATTAAGGCTATTGAAGTTAAGGTTTGCACAGAAATAAGGTTAATACAATTTTTGACCTTGTGAAACCCTAGCTTTTGAAGGTTCTGCAGAATTAAGCCTATATCATTGTTGTGATTGTATACACACGCTATACTCATCATGATTATTATCCGAGCACGTCTTTATTGAAGATATAAGGCTGTGGATGTCATCTGTTGGTCTTTGTTCACTCTAATTTCCAATTTTGCCCTTAAACCAGTATTTCTGCAAAATGAAGACTATGTGTAGTGCATAGCTACTTTAAGTTGTGTAGTTCATTCCTTTCACTTGTAAAAGCTAAAGTAGATTTTTAATTCACTCTTTTTATGTATTTGGTGAGTTGTGAAAGCTTACAGGGCCCAAGCAGGGTTTCTTAGGACAGGGGGAGTGTTGTGTGCACCAAGTAAAGCTAATGTGTGTGTAGAAGATATAAAAACTAGTGTTTCATCTTGTACAAGGGTGTGTGTAGAGAGTGATTCAACTGAGTGTGTAACTACTTACATACAACTAGTGGAGATTACATTAGCTATGGCCAAGAACCAAGGTTTTTGATATCTAGTTGAGAGATATTTTCCTTGTAAAATCTAGGTGTACTTACGGTTGAATGATTGAGCATTGTGTGTGTATTCAAAGCACTCCAAGTGAAAGTAAAAGTTAAGTTAAAGAACTAATTCATTCACCCACCCTCTTAGTTCATCAATTGGTATCAGAGTTTTGGTCTACCTTTTGAGGTCTTAACCAACCTACAAAAGATCTTGAGCAATGGATGAAGGCCAAGTCACTAACAAAGTACCCGACTTTGATGGTTCTAACTATTATTCATGGAAAACAAGGATAGAAGCCTTTCTTATAGCCCAATGTTATGATGTATGGCATGCTACAATTATTGTGTGGTTGTTCTTAGTCCAAACAATCCTTCAACTGATGATAAAACAACTTTCCAAATGATGGAAGAGCAAAGCATGATCACTTCTGTGCTCTCAAGCAACAAGAGTTTACAAGAATCAAAAACTGTAAAACAGCTAAGGAAATGTGGGACTCTTTCAAGGAAAACAAGATATAGCTTTTGAAAGTTCAATATGAAAGCTGTAAGATGGAAAAAAGGGAAGCTATCTCAGAGTACCTATGACGATGCCTCTTTCTATGTCTTTAGAAAATGGACTTCGTAATGCGAGAGGTCGCTTCGCAAGGTCAAAATATGAATGTGGTTTAGGAAGCCTTTCTAGTCAAATTTACATTTATAAAAACCACTACTACAACTAATGAAGTATAATGAGTAGAGATCGTCCACAGAGATTATACGTGTTGGAATTTAATTTCGACTCTAGTGTATCAATTGATTGCAAAGAGGGAGATTGGTTGATTAAACTAAAATGCAAAGAAATTAAAATAAACTAAGTTAGTTAGGGATTAAAGAGATGAGAAGTGTGGTCTTGGGGTGCATTAAAATCGCCACTAAGCTCGTTCACCAAACCACACACTTTCAACTAATTTGGGGAAAACATTCTTGTGAACAAAATGCAACTACCAATTGCAATATTAAACATGGACCATCAAATTCAATAATGAATTTCCTACCTAACCAACAATTAAACAAAGTGTAAAATAACTCATTAATTCTAAGTATGACCCATCAAACTAGTCACAATTGTAGCACACATTAATCTAGAGAATCATTGATAGAATATCAAATTAAGTAAAGATTGCTTACCTACCTACAAGTATGAATTAAATTGTAGAACAACCCATCAAGCATAAGTATATCCATCAAATTAATTAACAAACCCATCTAATAAAAACCATGTCTAGCCATCACTAGATTCTCAATCAACCACACATAGACATGCAATTAATATAGAAAAATTAGAGTAGAGATCAATTCATAAATAATCACACATAAGATAACATATAATCACATAAAGAATCAATAAAAAGAATTAATCCATAGAAATCAAAGGAGAACCTAAGATTCATTAAATTCACAAGGCTAAAACACTAATCACAAGATATTATTCCCCGAAAAGTATGAAAGAGATAGAGGTTTAGATTACAAACTTGGGGCTCATCCAAGCCCCAAGGAGAAGTCTAGCCAATCATGGAGGAGGTGGGTGTGATCTTGGAACCCTCAAGGGCAATCCCTAAACATGGCTCCATCTTCTTTCTCTTCTTCTTTGTTGAATTCTAGAGAGAGTGTGTGTGTAGATGTTGAGATGTGTTCTTGGTGCCTCCACTATTCTCTTTTCTTCTAACCTTAATCTTTAACTTTTCTGGAGAGAGAAACTAACTATTACAATGTAAAATTAAAATTAAAATTGAAGACAAAAGATTCATTACATAATAATTCAATCCCCCTTTTATACAAGGTCCTTGGAGCAGTGAACAAGTCAGAAAATAAACCCTTAAAATATCTAATCCCATAACTATGTGGTAGGTTGAGTTTGGGCGCGCGTGAATAAAATAGCTCGCTGCCAGCACATCTTTGATCGATCGAAGAAAAGCTTCGATCGATCGAAAAATTCTCGATCCATCCAAATCCACTGGTGGCGAAATTCTGCATTTTTTTACCTTTTTCTAGATTTTTCTGAAATCTTCTCAGAACTTTTGCTTGACTCCAAAAAGGCTGTAATAGACCATTTTTAGCCCACTTGAACCTTATTGACCTGAAATAGACAAAAACACAAATAAGTATCAAAACGAAAAAATAAAGATAGATAAATGGACTAAAATACCCTCATTTAGGTGCTAAAATGCGTCACATTTGAGCACTCATCAACTTATTTAGAATAAATGAGATTGATAACAACATCAAGGCTTTTGGTAAAGATGTGAAGGAGTCAGATGTTTACAAAAAGATTCTCAAGACCTTGACCCCAAGGTTTAATGCAAAGGTTACCATTCTTGAAGACAAAGATCTCTCACAGATGAAGGTAGATGATTTTCAAGCATCACTCACTACTTATGAAATGAGAATTGGGTTCCTACTCAACAAAGAAGAGAAGCTCAAAGCCAGAGAAGTAGTTGAAAAAGCTGAACAAAAGTCTGAAGATGAGGATGATCTTGAAGACGATGAAGTAGCTTACTTGGCCAAGAAGTTTAGAAAATTTAGATTCAAGAAAAGGACATATTCACATAACCAAACCTTTTATAGTTATGGTAAATCAGGTCACTATGTGGCTAATTGTCCTAATTCAAAAGGTCAAAACCAAAAAAAGGTTGAGATATTCAACAACAAAGGAAGATTTGGAAGAAAAGTTCTTATCTCTGATTAGGATATAACTTCTGAGGAAGAAAACCAAAAAGATGATTGCTTATTCATAGCTATACTTGAAACCCCACAAGCTGAGAAAGAAAAAGAAGAAGAAAATAGTGATACTGAGGTTAAAAAAATACTTGAAGAATGTGACCGGTTAGCTATGAAGTGTATTAAAATCCAAAGACTTACTCATCAAGCATGTCAAGATAAAGCTCTCAACTCTGTGCTTCATTTCTCTTACTTTGTACTTTGTGTTAAAACTCAAAATCAACAAGGAGGTGTGGACTACCAAACGGTGCAATAAGGAACTGTCACAAACTCTAGAAGAAAGATCTCTCAAGAAGATTAAAAATGTGGAAAAATTCCACTAAACAAGTTGACAAAATAGGCATTGGATACAAGTGTGATACTGCAGCGAAGACAAATCAAACACACTCAATGTTTGTAAGATCCTCCACAAGTGAAGTGTGTGCAAGATTTCCTATTGTGAAGACAGCCAGGACCAAGTATGAAATTCTTGACAGAACTTATACGACATTAAAGCTAAATAGGTCTAACTTTGTTACACCAACTATGAAAAATACCAAGCTTAATCATATTTACATTAAGAAGACAAACCTATTGTAGTCATAGATGATCAAAGACAAAAGAGTTTTTGTCAAAACTAAGATGATGTGGATCCCTAAGAAGCTGAATTCAGTAAGTATGTTGGTTTACACAACTTTTAAAGCTTGTAACTCAAATGACAGATGGTATGTTGATAGTGGTTATTCAAGATACATGACACGTGATGGCTCTAAGTTTCTTTTCTTGAAGAAATTTGATGGTGGCAATATGGTATTTGGGGACAATCAAAAGGCTAAAATTGTTGATATTGGAACTATATGCAAGTTTAAAGATCTACCTGAGATCATAAAAGTTTTATATGTTGAAGGGATTAAACACAACTTGCTAAGTGTGAGTCAACTATGTGGTACAGGCAAGAGAGTATGTTTTGACAAAGATAAGTGCAAAGTACTTGAGCTTAATACAAACAAATCATCTTTTCAGCAAACAGGTCCTCTGGAGATATATATACTATCTCTAAAGAAGCTTCATTAACACAATGCAACTTCTCAATTATTGATGTAGAGAATCTGTGGCACAAAAGGTTTGGACATGTGCTTACCTAAGCTAAAGTTCAAAGAAGATCACACTTGCAGGGCCTGTCAGCAAGGTAAACAAACTAGGGTTTTATTCCCAAGTAAAGAAGTGAAAACCTCAAAGGCACTGGATTTGATTTACATGGACCTTTGTGGTCTTACCAGAACCACAAGCATTGGAGAAAGTACTTCATGCTCCTAATTGATGATTTTAGTAGAATGACTTGGGTTTATTTTCTAAAAGAGAAGTCTGAGGCCATCAATCACTTCATCAAGTTTGTTAATCTTGTTGAAAATAAAAAAATAAAAAATAAAAAAAAAGGATGTACTGTCAAGAGGCACAAATCAGATTTAGCACTAAATTCACAATAAGGGAGCTTGGGAGCTTATGTGATATAACAGGAATCAATAAGGAATTCTCAGCTATGGCTACACCTTAACAAAATGGTGTTATGGAGAGAAAAAATAGAACAGTTCAAGAAATTGAGAGGACTATGCTACTTGAGAAGGGTGGCTAAGGGTTTTTGGGCTGAAGTTGTGAATACAACTACATACATTATCAACAGAGTGCTTTTAAGGTCTAATTCAATCCAAACTCCTTTTGAGTTATGGTATGGTAGGCCTACAACTGTCCATTACTTCTGTCTATTACTTCAAGATTTTTGGAAGTAAGTGTTACATTCTCAATCGCATTAACAATTTGGGGAAGTTTAACTCAAAATATGATGAAGGTATCTTTTTGGGGTACTCTACCAAAAACAAGGCCTACAGATGTTATAACCTTATAACATGTAAGATGGTGGAGTCTATTCATTTGAATTTTGATGAAACACCTCAGTCAACTATCTTATAAGATGTTTTTCCACCTACAGGGTCTAATGAAGCAAGCTCGTCACACTCAGAACCTGTATCTCATAAAGAAGTCTCTCATCCAACCTTATAGAAGCATGTTCAAACTGAGAACATCTTTGGGAATCCTAAGGAGGGGGTTTAAACCAGACACAAGAGGAAACTCAGTGAACTAGCACTTGAAAATGATGAATAATATAGACATTTTTCCATGTTCTCCTCATTCCATTAAGTTAGGGGTGACGCTTTTGGGATTTAAGAGTTATACAGAGGCGGTAACGAGATCACTTATGGCAGAGGCTGAAGCCAAGGACTGACAAGAAAGGAGTGGTGTCAGGGGTCTCAAGTACGAGGTATGAGTGTGGGTACTTCTTCCGAGAGTTAGGGAAGGAGGAGGCACAGAGATTTTTCATCACAGTCTCAAGAGCAGCGAATGGCATACGCTACTCCTACTGTTAAGGTGTCTCCAGGGCCTTCTAGCATGAGTGTGGTGTGTTATCATTGTAAGAAGACGAGGCACTAAAAAGTGCACATTTAAACCCTTGATCTTGAGTATATTAGGACCTTATTCTATCTTGTTTTCCCGCTTTAGTTTTATTTTATGTTTTTCCCCTTTTAAGGTACATAATCCCAAAATGAGCCAAATTAGCTAAATTAGAGCATTGGAGAAGGCAATCCAAAGTCTAGTGGAAATATAGAGCAAAGTGGAAGCAAAAAGATAAAAAATTTCTTTGTTCGATCTATCGAACCTTGTTATGATTGTTCCAAACCTACTATGATGGATAGAGCTTTTGTCCTTATCCTTAGGAAAATTTCTTCTTCGATCGATCCAACCTTTTTTCAATCTATCGAACCTTTTGATCTTATCCTCATAACCACTTTTGTTCTTTTCCTCATAAATATCTCAGCTTTATCCTTATCCAAATTAATGCGCCGCCATACTTCGATCGATCGAAGCAACAGTGTGATCAATCGAATTGCCTCAAAAATCGTGTAAAGCATAATTCAAGACCAATTGAAGGTGCACTTGTGGTGCAATCATTTAAAGGTCCTAATGCACAAGATCTGACCATTTGGGGTGTCATTTGAGCTACTTATATAAGAGAATTAACCATTTTTGGTAAAGAGGTTGGTTAGTTAGACACCTTTGGCAAAAGATTAGGGGAGATTAGACACACTTTGGGAAACTCTTTCTCTCTAGGATTTCTACCAAGAAGACCAAGAAGAAGGAAACGAATTCAACCATGAAGACTGTAACGACTCGGTCTTTTGCCTCCCTTTCCTTTTTCTTGAAATTCTACGAATGAATTTTTTTCGTTTAATTTTCTATTCTGAGCTCTGTTTCGTGTCGCTTAGTGTCATCTCGAGTGCTTGGAATTGGTTTATGAGACTCTTTCATGTGAATTGACAACTTCCTTTGAGGACCGAGTTAGTTTCGCATTTTTCGTTTTTCGGACACTATGCGCTATTGCGTCTTTTCCCTTTTCGTCTTATCTCTATTTGTCAATTTTTGGCACAACCTCACTTCTCATGCTCGGAGTTGATTTTTGACTTCATGTGCCTTCATCTTAAGTGGTTTCCTCGAAATACGTATCTTTACTTTTGCAAGAAAGTACTCTGGTTGCTCCCGGTGTCCACAAGGGCATAGATGCATAATTCTTCAGAATCTTTTTCATTTCTTGGGGTGTTTTTCGTAAATATCTTTTGAAGATATTTTATTTCAGAGGTTTTTAAGAAAATATTTTTGGAAGATATTTTTATCTTGGGCCATAAGTGTAGTTTTCACTTTTTGGAGGGGCCATTGTGTAATTAATGAAAGTTATTGCAAAATGTCTTGTTTTGAGCCTGGATCCTCGTACGGGATTCATTTTCACATTTTTTCGAGTTTTGTACTCTTGGAATTTCCTCTTGGTCGATATTTTCCAGTTTTAGGGTTTCTAGTCCCGGTTTGCGCCAAACTTACTTTGGGTATAACTTTCTGGTCGGGACTCAGTTTTGATGCTGTTTCTTCCGTTGTTCATATTTTATCATTTTGAATCTTTTTCATTCACAAAGTTTTGCCATTTGAGCGCATCTGCTCAAATTTTACTTTTACGGACCCGACGGGGCCTATTCGGGGCACTTTTTGAGATTTCTATAAAAGGGATTTGAGATATTTCATTTTTCATCTTCTCCCCTCTTCATGCACGACCTGGAGCTCCCATGGCAGCCCAAGGGGTGCTGCCATCTTCTCTCTCCTCTTTTGGTTCACTTTTCCTTGATGGAAAGTCTCCGGCCTTAACGTTTATTGTTCCCCTCGCCGTGCTCTACCTTTCCCCCTTATTAGAATTCAGTTTTGACCATTTCTTGAGTTTGGTTTTGAGGTCAAGTTATGATTTTGATGGGGCTTTCATGGGGGTTATGTTCACGGCGTTGTCCCCGATAAAACCTAGTAGTTTCGTCGGATTTGGAGCCGTTCCATTTTGATGGCATCTGAGATTTTCATCTCAAATTGAGGTAAGGGATGTTCTAGGTTTAAATTCTTGTTATATAGCATGCTTTTGATGCTTATACTACTTATTTGCATGATTAAATATAAAATCTAGAGATTTTATTATTTATTTTTCTGGTACGGGATCTAATTTTTCCAGTTGCTCATTACTTGGTTTAAACATGTAGCATGATTTTATATTGCCCCTTGATATGCTCATTGTCGTGTATTAAAATTAGAACATTTGAATAAGTATTAAATATTTTATTTAATATTTATCTTAGGTGAAAGATTAATTCACATGGCCTTAACTAGCTTGAAATCAATATGCGTTAGCATATTAAATTAGGCCTTAGCATGCTCTCCAACATAGTTGAATTTGAAAGTAATTGGAGGTGTTTTGAAAATTAGTAATTATTAATTAATTAAATTAATTAATTTGCCCCGAGTGCACTATTCACTCTATTTGAATTCCGACTTGATATTCTTGATTTACATGCCATATAGCTTCACATATATTTGATTTGGAATATTCGGTTAGGTTTTGAAACCTTT